CAAAATTAAAGAAATTTTGCGAGACAAGTAAATATTTTGCGCTAACTTGTTATTGTTATTGACATGCTTCTCTTTCTCTCTCTCTCTCCCTCTCTTCTTTCCTTGCTTTTTTTCTCTTTGTCTTGAATGATTTTATTAAACCAGTTTAGTCTCATAAAGTATCTTATGGCAAAACTGTGGCCTGCGTCATTCCCTGCGTAGGAATACATGAGCGGAGAGAAGATTCATCGCGACTAACAGATAATAACGCACTCTTTCATCACTTTCTTACTAACCTTTCCTCGAATAAACAACTTTATTCATGATTCATCATATAAGAACTCAACAATTTCATGTGCTCGACAACTCGTCGCTACATCTTAATCTTCTTTTACATCTGTTTCTATTAGCATTTATAGAGGCTTATCTATTGTCTCTTCGCTTCTTACGCAATTTGAACTGCAGGACGATTTTAGCATTTCTCGAATGGATATCGCGAACAAAAGTTTACGCGCCTTGCGCTGTAATTTCGATATCTTATATGCATGCTGTATCAAATGTTTTGAAAGTCCAATCCAAGTTATGTAACAACTAAGCAGTTCAACAAATAAGCAACAAACCATGTAACAAATATGTAACAACCGTTGCGACAGTATTCAGAGGTATTGAATATTAATAATGCACCGCGTTCTCTCTTTCTTTATAATGGGAATAAATTTTATTCTTATTAACTTTATATACATTTTACACTTTAATAAAATTTAATCGAAATTCCAGTTTCGAGTATTTAAGCTTTGAAAGTCAAAGGGTAATGATAATTTTCAAGCACCTTGTATTTTTATTTTCAATACGTCAATATGTCAGTTCGAGATACGCGATATCCAACGCGTATGTCATCGCACGTACATTGATTATTCTTATCATTTCACGCCTTCTCAGAGACAACACTGTGCTCGACTGCAGCTGCCGTGCACATCTCTTTCCTCTGTCATCTCACGTATTACGGCATCCATGATGTACACGTAGATCATGGCTGTTTACCGCGATGCGGTCGCTTCGAGTCCAAGGCTCGGTTGAACTGGCCGTCGAGAGACCGAACCAACCGCATTCATCCCTCGACACATCTCCCTCGCGAACGAACGAACGAACGAACGAACGAAGCAACGATCGCTCTCGTCCTCGTGAAGCGACAAGTTGGCGCGTGCAAAACGCGAAGGCGAGTCGCGCTCGCGGCGCCCTTGAAGAGAGTCAGCCTTTGTCTTATCACACACTTGGCTTACGCGAAGCAGCGTCAGCCTTGACTTCGCCCCTCTTCATCGCCGCGTCTCGTCTACTGACTTTCCTGCGAAAATCGACCGACTGGCAGGCGGGCGGTTTCTTCGATTTCGCTTCGTCTCACCGAGTTCCGTCGATTCAGGGTGACGTAGTTTTTTTTAAGTAGGATTTTTTATATGTGATAGAAAACATTTTCCGTTTTCGAAGCAACGGCGAAATTCTACACATCTTTTTACTTTTTATCAAAATTATTTTAATATCCGTTTTATCATACATGTATCTCATAGGTCGTACGTGCGTTGGTTGTTAGATTTTTGGATTATTATTGTTGAGAATATTTTTATAATTTGCCAAAAAGATGGAAATAAGTTACATGGGTAAAGTATATAGCAAGGAGAAAAAGTAATACAAAGAACAAAATAACACAATATGCATAGAATTGGAGGTAAAGCGATATGATGCGTAATGGTAGGGAATGTCAAATAAGCTATGTAACAACGTCAAGGCTATATATCATCGCTGTCAATACATCAAGGTCTTAGTGCACATATATAGCCACGTGCCTGCAGAGGAAGCGCTTCGGCATTCGGATGTCAGAATTGAATTTCCTCCTTAATATTTCCGCCTTAATATTTCCGCAACATAAAACAGCTGCTTCTAACTGACAATGATACTAATCTCATGCATATGTTTACAATTTTTTATCAATAATTATATACTATTTAAATTTCTTGCATATTTATCAGTATGCACAATTTATGAAGCTTTAGTTTACAGTGTTTATTAATATTCAATATATTTTACATTTTTTACAATTAAAATAATCGAAATCTTGGCCTTGGTAAGATAAATTTTTATTCTTCGAACATCTGAATCGCAATGACGAATGCCGAAGTGTGAGCGAAATACTTTTCGTTGTTTTCCGTCTGTCGCGAATTGTTATCGCGGTTGCACCGATGCATCAGCGGCGGCGGCGACGACGCCTAATCGCAATAATCGTAAAACAACGATATTTTTAACCTCGCGCTACGTTGCAGTCGGTCGCCTTCCACGACCTTCCGATCTTGACACTGAAACTTCTTTTTTCTATCACTTTTTTCCGCGAACGTCGCCGCGGACTTACGCGTGTCGCGTTACCGACCGCTGCCTATCGGTCTTACGAAACAACCGGATGAATCAGATATGGAAATAAATGTACCTAATTATGCAGTGCACGGAGTCGCCGGAGGAGACACCGAACAGGGAAACAGTACGGGAGCTATCGATCGTGACGAATAAGGCTAACGAAAGGGTCGTGATGTTCGCGACACGCGGCGCTCTCGCATGCGGAAAATCGTATTTTGAAGACGCAATCTCATCCGGTTGCGACACTACATCACGCCGACCTTCGTCGTTTTTATCTACAATTACATAGTAATCCATTCAATTATCGGAGAAGCGATTGAAAAACAATGTCGTTCAAGGATATTTTTGCGAAATCGAGGGACGTGCGAGATAAATGCGCGTGTTTCGGGGGAATTAAAAATGCGAAACGACGTTGCGTGACAGATGATTGATAAATTGCGCGCGATTAAATTGAGAAAATTGTTGGAGAGCGTGAAAGCAATTTGGAGATAATTTCGCGAAAACTGGAGATGAAAGACGGAATTTATATTGCTGGAAGATAGAAATGTATGTATATTCGCGAGATGGCGTGAATCTCGAAGCGATTTGATAAAAAGCTACCCGCGATGTCGAGCTCGCAGGCACTATAATTACGTGATTTCGACATACTATAGACGGTTTTCACCTAACTTCCTCGTTTTCACCGGCGAGTTTGTGTCGGGGCTGCGTTCTACTTTCCCTTGAACTCTCGTGGCCCGACCCACGCCTGCATAAGTCCAACTCCAAATGAAATATCTCGATCGCTCGACAAAGAGATACTGACTTTAGAATTGGTTCGCATTTTGCGAAAAATCCTACCCTCGCCTTTTCCGAAAGCCGAAAGCAGCCAGGTCGTAAACGAGCAGGAAACAATCCTGTTGCAATAGTTGTATGTAGCTTCGATTTGTGATTTCTCTTTCAACCTTTATGTTAAAGTAACATTTGAAAGATGATGGCTTTAGTTGTAGTATTTAAATATCTAGTTTATTTATTTCATACTTTAATTTAATTTTGATATTGCAAGATTTAAAGTTCCGAAAGAGCTTGTTTTTCTAGAAAGCTCTTTTTTTGTTCTTAGTTTCTGTTTTATATGAAATGAAATGGATAGATTCTTGTGAGTTATATATTTATTCTCTCATCGACAGAAACACTTCGCTGTTCTGCTTATGCTGTACAGTGGCGATCGCAATCGCTTTCTCAAAACGGTATGATAAAACGGTGTTACGATAAAAACATTCGTCTCTCTTTCTCTCTCACTGCCGCCGCTCTTCTTTGTCCCGAATCTGTCTCGACTCTCCCTCGGTCTGGCGATACCTTTAGTGGTATCTAGTGCAAAAGCAACGTGGGAGTATAGTATTGGAAGTGCGGCTTCTGTGGAAGTGAAAGTTACAGTGTCGAACGTATGAACGAACGAACGGACGGTCGAACGCGATTCGCTCAAAAGTCGAGGCTTTCTCTCTCTTTCTCTCTCTTTCTCTCTCTCTCTCTCTCTCTCTCTCGGAAAAAACAGGGAACAATATATGTAATCATATGCTATTGTTAAATTCACGATTCAATTACTCTTTTTTTTTATTATTAAAATAGAGAATTGTGGTTCTAATAGTTGGTTGGTTCTAATTTTCGCTGGAGCGCGAATTTCTCAATCACTGCCACGATAGCTTTCTATTTATATAGTTATTTGTATCTTTCTTATTTTGCTTAGACAAAGATTGACGCCAAATAGCTGAAACCGTTCGTCGTTAAAATTTAAATTGCAAATTCTCGAACATGCTTAATAATTTATTCGGCGAAAATAGTTGTCAATGTTGATTCTATGTACGAGTTTTATTTTTGTTATTTTTCTTTTTTTCTTTTTTAGCGAGTTGATTTCGAGCGAATTTCATCGCAAAAATTTAATTTTTTATTTTTCGGTTATTGGGATTACCGCGGTCCGATGCCGATTCGATAAATGTGCGGGACTAAAATACTCGATTTCACGAACAGTTCCGTACTTGGCACGAGACACGATCGCGTGTTCTGCGCGTTTTTCTTCCTTTTGTTCTTCCCAATTCTTTTTCTCCCATTTTTCGCGCTGTTTTACTCGTTCGCGGGATTTGCGCGATCGATCGACCGTCGATGACTTTATTTTAGACAAATTCGATTGCCAAAAATTCGTGAGCGAATTAACAATAGTCGCGAAATTGAGATTTCATCACTCCGAGATGAGATAATGTACCGTTACGCATAGCAATTATAATAATATAGAAAATGTCGTACAGGGGAAAACATCGTATGTTCTCTTTTTAAAGCTGGAATAATAATTGATAGCACCGTGTAAATTTGGAGCTTGGTTATACATATTCACGACATAATTATTGTACCGTTTCGTCGTGTCGAAATGCAGGATATTCACCGCCATTCATATATTATGCTAATCCAATAAACTCTTCCATCTCATCGTCCAGAAATATGGAGAGGTCGACGGCCCCCGTGACGTAATGCGGGCACGCGCACACAATTAACGACTTTCTGAGCGAGTACAGTGTGTATGACGGGACGACTCGAATGGATGATTCTCGCATTTGCCCGATTTAACCAGACGGTTCTGTTTTTTTTTGTTGCAGGCTTGCGGTGAGCGACTGTGCGCCTCAGACGTCGCGGGTCAGCTCGAACTTGCACAGCAGCAGTAGTATGGCAGTGAGCCGCGTCCCGAGCCCACCGCCGCCGGAAGTGAACACCCCCGTAGCTGAGAATTGGTGTTACACGCAGGTACGTTTCGTTGTTGGCGGTTCATTGTCCTCCATTGCGCTCTGCGCGCGGTTAGCGATCGATTCGCCTGCGCCGAAATTTATCCAGCCGTCGTCCGAGCGACGGAAATGAATAGACACGAGATTTAGGAGCGTTTAAGGACGAGCGGAAATGGAGGTTTTATTCTGAACGAAATATTTAACCGTGCAAAAGTTATTCAGCTTTAGGTAAGATTTGCACAAATAGGATTAATTTTTCTACAAACACATTTTTAAAACTCAACTTAAACATAAGAATTTGTTGAGCGTTATTTAAATCGTTCGCTCAATCACTGTCGTCCGTAAATTATACATGATGTTATTGGAGACATTTCTAATGACATTTCTCAATGCTACATTTTCGAAAATTATGTTAAACAACGTTGTTATGTTTGTAAAAGCATAATTTTCAAAGATGCAACATTGCATAAACGTACGGAACAGAATCATTCGATTCTGAAATTCAACGAACTTACCCCATTCTGGAATTCACGAACTTATTTCTCTCAAATTAATATTCAAAGAGTGGAGAGATTACGTGTATGTTAAGAATTTAGGAAAAATTTTCTGTTTGTAATTGGATTCCATTTTTTACAAACACGAGAAATAAGTTGTTCGATTGCTTCCGTGGTCCTAGGTCATCCGAGTTTAATCGTTGAGTGGATTCGGTCGATCGATATATTCCGTATTGAGTGAGAGGACAAAAGACGAAGAGGGCAAAGAAGGCAGGTTCACGTTAGAGAAACGCGGAGAATCGCGCAGCGTCGTTGGCGCGTAGCGCGCGCGTGAGAGCACGCGCTCCTGGCGCTCTCATTCTATTTTTACTGCGCTCGTCCCCCTCGCACGATGTGAACGACCTGCAACTAGATATCTCTCGTCGCTCCTCCCGTCCTCCTGCCGGTCGGACTCCCCGCGGTCGACGCTCGCGGAAACGTTCCACGATTTTCGCTGGAAATTTGCACGACCACCCTTTTCCTCTTTGCATTCCGCTGTTATTTCCGCTTTACGCAGCCAACTTGCACGCGATTACATTCGAATGCGATCATAATCACGTTACGACTCGCGATTATGTCTGTGCGTCGGCGCTCCGAATGCCGGATAAATAGATAGAGACTCATTATCGGCTTGGGCGAGTCCCCACAGGCTGTCCCTCTCTTTCTCGGGGAGATTCGTAATGGACAATAGACAATTGTCCGTTGACAATGGCAGGGAATGGTGGAGTTAGGAAGTTAGCTTAATAACAGAAGCACCGCGCGTAGGTCGAAAGTAGCAAACATAATAACGAGGAAAATATCAGCTCATTATTTTGACAGTATTAATAGTAATAAAAAGTGACGTGATATTTTCGTGAGATTCAGAGATGTTTTTCAGGACGTAATTTTCGAAAGAAAGATCCGACAGCGAAAAGTGCTCGCAAATAATGAAATATTTGTACCGACAAAATCCAATGGTTTCTCACCGTTGTATATTTAATCCTCTCGTTCTAATTTCGACAGCGAGCGGAGTAGAATGCGAACATTATTACGTTCGCTTTCGCGTGTTGCGCAAGAGCGACCGCTGAATTTTATGATACTGTCCGCATAAAACCTCGCTCGTATTGGTGGAACACGTCGCGCACCGCTCGATCGGCACTTGCCTATAAATCGAAAGTCAATTCGTGCTCCAGTTAACTTTCGTAATGCACGATACCGATTTCGCCGCGTCAGCAGTTCGCTGCAACATCACCTGTGCGGTTTGCGGCCGGTCGATCGCAGCGATTTATCGCATCTCGATAAAGCATGACAAGAGCACGATTGCAAATGCACATCGTTTTCGATTTTGTCAAAAATTTGCAATATCGCCCGTCAAAAATCTCCACGTTTTGTTTTCACGTATAAAAGTTGCATCAATATTGGCAAAGTGATGTCCTGAGGCGCGTATATTTTGGGTTCAAGGTTGACAGTTACGAAACAATTGTGTCATGAGAAATCCCTGGTATTTAACGTTATATCCTTCGGCTGTTTTGGCCTTTTATTCATACGAGGACATGTAAATATGTCTGGTGTTGTGCGAGGTCACTGCGGGATTATTTTATATACAATCTACTATAAGAATTTCTGCAGAATTATGTGTAGTCTTTTTCGGGAAGTAGATCTTTTTTGAGAGAGATTTAATTTCGCAACTCTCGGATTTCTAATTCTTTCAATGCGCAAATAAAATATTATTCTTCAGCTGAGATGAAATTGTAGAAAGTCTATCAGTTCTTCACACTTGATTAATCTGCGGATTCTTTGATCCATCTCTCGGAGTCAACTTTTTGAAATCGAATTCTGATTGAAGTTAAATGAGGAGTAAGATTCTTTTATTCTCTATTCGTGTCTCTTGAATTTATTCCATCAGAAATTCCTCATCCGCAAGTCGATAAAAAGACGAAAATAGATGAAAAAAAATATCTCGAGCTTAAAGTGACTTGATTACGTCCTTAATAAACGTCTTTACAAACACGTTGCATTTGCAATATTTTCTACGACACGCGGAAGTATTTGAATTTATTGAATTTGCCCTCTGCGACTGGTTGGAATATTTAGGTAGGCTTGTGAAACACGCTTGTAGGTATGCGGAGAGTCACGCAAACCGTTCAGGTGCCTAACACTTAGCTCATAGGAAATATTTTCGCGAAATGTCCTTGCGGTCATTCATCTCTCTGCGGCCGGCGGTGTGCATCGTGCGTCGAGATCCGCGCGAGTCGGGGCAACGATCGTTTACCTCGGCGCGGCGGTCGTGCACCGCGTCCAGGAGGAGGACTGTGCTCCTCCACCGGAAGCCGATCGACTCGGTGGACTTGGTTCGCTTGGTGCTTGAACCCGCGCGCCGCGTTCCACGGCACTCCCGTAAACGGGCACGGGTGATTCAAGGCCGATCGCCGCCGTTGCCGCTGCCGCCACCGCAAGCGGGTTGAACGACTCCTAGGGGCGTCGACCGGGTCGCCTCCTCCACGTCGCCGCCGCTGCTGCCGCCACCGCCGCCGCCGCCGCCGCGTTCCTCCTCCTCATCGCTCCACCTGATGGCGGCGATTCGCGCCGACTCGCTACGCGGAACACCCGGGAGAGAGAGACGATGAACCCTTCGACCTCTCTTCTCCAAGTTTTATACGTCGCTTCCGCTCGCGACTCGACCGGGCCGCTCGCGAGATGTTCCACTTGGTCGTTCCGAAACGGAACTGCGAACCGCTTTCCATATAAATTTCATTGCGCGATGTTAATTGTATGAAACACCCGGAACCGTCGTTTGTTTATCAGGAAGTCTGGGGTTTCTGAGCTCCGCGGAGAGTACTATAATCTTTACATTTTGATGGGAGAGATGCCTGAGTCGACAAATTTAAGATATTGGAATGGAACATTTGAAATTTAAATAGATAAATTTATTTTAATTCTTTAAATGTACATAAATATTTATATAGAAACTTATACATCATACATCTTATATAAAATTTTGAATTGTTTATTAACATCTTAGCTTAATCACTGACTTTGTCTCGATTTAAAGAAAATAATTGTAATTCTTTTATGATTTTACGATTCGATTGAAGTGTGTATAGTAGCGAGTAACACTAGGCTCCACGTTTCTTCCTCTTCCTATCGCATTGATAATTTCCCATATGAGTCACAGTTATATTATTGGTTTCATCGTCACGTCCATCAGTTAGCCGTAGGAGAAGGACGATACGCGTGAACGTCCGCATCAAGCGTATTCGTAATCGTCGAACGAAGAAGCCTAGCTGTTGGCACATTACCAACGTATAGGATTACGTCGGAGGAACGAAATTAACTTGAGAAAGTAGTACTACACTGTCGGCTGCTTAAAGTTTCTCCATTGTGCGAGTATAATGCCTCTAATTTTTCCTGGCAAATCCACTAAAAAGTAATCGTAGTAACAAAACTATTATTCAAAGTTTAACTATAAATTGAGCGATTATCTAAAAATTCTGTACGATAAATTTCGAGTATATCAATGCCCTGAAATTATATATATGCGCGAAAATAAAATCCTTAAATAATTTAAAATTATTAAGAATTGCAAAAAGAAAATTATTAAGGTCAAGAAATTTTTTTTATCACGATCATCTGTCAGCTATCTTGAAATTTAGTGTACTATTATTTTTTCTCAGAATAAATACAACAATCGACAAGTATTATGCAATAAAGTAAAATTTTATTGGAGGTCAATTTTCATTGATTTAAAATATTGATTTTATATATGAACATAGGCGAGTCTGAAAAATTTCTCCGGTTTTCTTGCAATTGCGAAGAATATACAATGGTTATTGCCACAAAAAATTACGGTGCAAGCATATTCGCGTACCTGCATTTGCCCAAAAGTTCGATTATCTCGAATTTTTTCTCGAGTCTTGTAGCGAGACATCACACGCCTCTCCTGCTTTTTGTTACCTGCCGGGCAAGCGAATCGTTGTAAGCCGTAAGAAGTAACCGGCCACGAAGAAGATTACAGTACGAGCGTGCGTTGAACTCTCGTGCGAGAGAGATAGCCACCTTCTTCCTGCTTCTCGACGATGCGAATGTCGACCTCAAGCTTCCGATCCGCGAAGGTCACGCCGAGGTGAAGATCATCGAACCCGCTCGTCCAGCAATCATGAATAAACGCGTGAATACACCCATGATCGGGAAACATGTCTAAATACAGGAAAGAGAGAGGTCCTTGACGCACGAATGTCATTCATCAGCCCAAGAACAGATTAGGTATTCCACAAGACCTATCAAATTACAAGGTTGTTTCTCTCTTTTACATTATCTTAGATAAAATTTTTTTCAACAGAAATGTTATAATGTTTGGCATTTGAAAATAATAATAATATCTCGATATCTTTATGTCAATCAATATATATTAATTTCTATTTTATTTTACATTTTAGATTCGATAAATATTGTTTCGAAAGCTTTAATTAGTCGTTTCGAATATTAGAAAGTGCAAAATCGTAAATATCGTAAATAAATATTAAATCAATTAGGAGAGATTAAGCAACTGTCTCGAACACAAAGGAATTGCTTATGATTGAAAACAGATCGTCGAAAAGAGAGAAGAACTTTCACTGAAACTCTCGAGAACAGCGAAGGTATGGTATACCTCGCAGATGTTTCTCACGCTTTCCTCTGTGTATGGTCCCTTTTCTACGGGTAATAGGCGGCGAACAATTCCAGAAGAAGCTTCACATATGCGGCTCGCTCTGGTTCAGCGGGAGAAATCCCGCGAGATTCTGTTACACAAAAGATCCGGCGTGTATTCGTGAATTTCGGGAGTATTTCACTCTAAACAGCATAAATTCGAATTTTTAATTGGATATTACGCACATTGTGTTGTCTTTTAGCTTATTTCCATACATATATTATATATATTCAAATGGTGAAGGACGTGGAAGAGTGATATCTCGGTAGACAAGCAAAATTCGCGCAACTCGTTCCTGTATAATGAAATAAAGCAATTTTTTTTTCAACATTATGAAAACTGCATTCCGAATCTTATTAATATTATACATTTTTTACGTATTTTTTTTTGTGTATTTTTCTCTGCGATATTTTTGCGTGTTGTGCATATTTTATCAGATATATGAAGTTTTATATATTTTTGATCAGCGTCGTAATCCAGAAAAATACTAACACGTAGACTGTGCAGCGCTGGTTAAATTTATATAACTCTCGATATAACATGACAGAGAGGAGAAGGGAGATTCTGTCTCAGATCCAACTTGTAGTCGGTACTACGTACAAACTTGTAAGCAGTCGCTGTCTTCAGCGCAGTGTTATATTCTGAGATAGACAAGCCGGTAGAACCTGTCAGATTCCACTTAGAGCCAACTTTGCAATCGCTGAATTCAGTCTTCATTATCAACCGACAAACTTCTCTCGTCTGCATCTTCTCAATGCAGAATATGCAAATATCGCTTTATAATCTTCAAAATAGCTCATTTTTATATATCACATGTGTCTTCTTAATTTTGATAGCAAAAAATTACAAGATGTCTTTTTAGTAGGAGCATAAATAAATTCTTGTGATTTTCTTCTTATTTTAACAATTATCTCAAATATTTACGCAGTTGCATCCGCACTGCAACTCTAATTGCTGCGATTTCTAATTCTTGCCATTTTCTCCTCGTTGTAATTTTATATGAAAAAAACTTATTTTAATTTTGTTTCTAGATTTTCGTTAATTACTGCGAAAGAATTTTATTCCAGAGCGTGATAATAAAACAGTAGTCGCTCACTACTCGGTATAATTTTCTCAATACGCACAGCACCGTTTCTCGCAATACGAGATGAGGCCACGTAATCGTTGCGGCAGATGGCCGATAAGAGCTCTAAGCAAAGTTTACCATTACGGAATACTAGACGAATAGATTTGGCCGCGGACTACCGCTCATTCATCAAGGTCGCACGCACGACGCTGACGTCAGAGATCATTGACTTCTTCCGGGGGACTCGACCTTTTTATGTCTTTTTTTCCGTATCTCCTTTTTTTGCCTCTTGTTTGCGTACATTTTAAATTCTCTCTAAATATCCGAGATAATTTTATCTGACCGTATTTGGAATGCTTTGATTAAGTCGTCGACCGAATTTCAAACTTCACGAGCACTTTATTTATTTGACACGTTCGTATGGCACGAAGACGAAACTCGGAGCAGTCCACGTCCGCGATATCGATGCATATTAATGCGAATTCTCGCGGCGGAAAAGAAAACGGTTACACATACCGAAACCGTTACCGACAAAGGTAGGCGGAAAGAAAAAAAAAGCTCGTCCTTTGAAACAACAAAAGTCACATGTTCACCGTTAAAGCTGTCGATGTAGTCCGAAGAAGTTGCGCAAGCAGATCGAGAATCCTTCAAATCGACCCTGAATCTACGTTCCCTTCCTCCTTTACGCTACCTACGTGTGTAGTACTTGGCCTTCGAGGCTCGATATTAGCGTGCGTTCGTTTTTATGATCCTCTCCGGCAATTTACCAAACGTAGATCAGAATAGACCTCCAGGTTGTATCGATTATATTTACATATCTTTGACGCAAACGAATGGAACGCGTGATTTGAATCGATCGATTAAAATGCAATTAAATGTGATTGAATACGCATATGAAGCAAATGACTTATGAGCGTGATTAGATAGCTACACAATGTGGCTTAACTACGACATTTACTATATCAAGGGAATAATTTATAATCACCGGATGTATCTCCTCTCTCTTTCCCTCCCAGGAGACTGCATGGATCGACTGACGCTGCCCGAGCACAAAGAAGTCGCGTTATCTTAGTTTAGTTTCAATTATAAGATAACGTTGTATTCTCGCCGGAGAAAAGAGTTCGCTCCTTTCCGGAAGATGAATCGTCCGTCGATTATTTCCACGCTTCTAACCCTTATTTGTAGGAATTACGAGAAAGAGGGTACGCAAACACACCTAACGTAGACCCGTGTCCCGTGCAGGACCGGGGAGATAGATTGATTTTCTAAACCGTAAAAGCAGAGCATTGCTAGAGCCCACGACGACGGCCATGAACCGGTGTTTGCGTAGCTCTTTTAGCGTAGTTAGATTAAGCTAGTTTCCACGGGATAGACTCTGACGTGGTGTCGCATTTGAAGGTTTTATGTGCACAGGTAAAGGTGGTCAAATTCAGCTACATGTGGACGATAAATAACTTCAGCTTTTGCCGCGAAGAGATGGGGGAAGTGCTCAAGTCGTCTACATTCTCAGCCGGGGCCAATGATAAGTTGAAATGGTAAGATTACATCGAGCTGTCTTTTGTCGTCTATAACGATGATGACACATTTTTTTCTTCTCTCTCTCTCTCTCTCTCTTTCTCTCGCGCGAAGACTCTTCGGACTTTTCGAGGAGATAATGTAATCGCTTGTAATAACGTATATTAAAAGATAGTTTAAGATTCTTTGAATTGCATACAAAGATAATTCATGCGCATATCAATGTGTAGCAGTGGCAATTTGAATCGCGATTAATCGCGTGATGACAATTAGTAAAAGCACTAATGCGATCTATTTAGCGCCAAGCAGACAGTCCCCACCATTTGTGAAGAAAGAACAATTTGTAATTGATTTAAAGCTGTAAAACTTTGTCAAGGTTTTCGAAATTTTGAACTGCGAATTTTGTGCGTTCTGTTGCGTCTCTCCGAGTGTGATTTTATCGATTTTAAACTACGCCGAGTCAGCATGTTTTTTTTTAGCACACACCGCATTTGTAGAACAAGATCTTAGAAATTCTAGAAAATGTGGTGGACAGTCGTTTAGTGCCTAAATAAGCAGCGAGCCCACTGTCTATTGTTGGTCGTGCTGCCTTTTCAGCTTTATTGGTCTGCTTGTATGGCATGTTTCGAGAAAGAAATGTGTTTCAAGCGGCGAAATGAAAGCTCAACTGTCGCTCATAAATCTATGCTTAATACGAGAGAGGACTGAAAGAGATATATTTTCAAGTGTAATTCGAAGGAAGAAGACGTCTGATGACAACAGTGTCGTGTCAATTGTTGCGATAATTGATTTCCAGGTGCCTGAGAGTGAATCCTAAAGGTTTGGATGAGGAAAGCAAAGACTACCTGTCGCTGTATCTCCTTCTCGTTTCGTGCAACAAATCTGAAGTCAGAGCAAAGTTCAAATTTTCTATTCTTAATGCCAAAAGAGAAGAAACCAAAGCAATGGGTAAGTCGGTAAACGTGCATTCTAGATCAATACATAACCGTATTATATGTGTTTGTGCAGGGGATGTGCAGTGCAGAGTATTTTAGAGACTTTCGTCGATTGAATCGTAAACAATTTTTCTCGATAACGTTTAAAGCGAAAGTTGGATATTATATTGAATAATAATAAATTGGAGCACGATTGAAATATACGTGGTTTAAATAATTTGTTCTTTGTTCTTGCAGAAAGCCAACGTGCTTACAGGTTCGTCCAGGGTAAAGATTGGGGCTTCAAGAAATTTATCAGGAGAGACTTTCTTCTGGACGAGGCCAACGGACTGCTACCAGATGACAAACTCACGATATTCTGTGAGGTATATACCTTTGTATGTCGTTTGTAACACTTATCTCGCTACGCGCATCTTGCCGAGTGAGCGGTATCTAAAGTTTGAATTGTCCGCTTAGGTCAGCGTAGTGGCAGACAGTGTCAACATCTCCGGCCAGAGTAATACGATACAGTTTAAAGTACCGGAATGCCGGTTACCTGATGATCTCGGACTATTATTCGAGAACCAAAAATTTAGCGATGTAACACTCACAGTATGCGGTAGGGAATTCCAAGCGCACAAGGCCATTCTCGCAGGTAACAACCGTCTTCATTTTATGAGTTTCATTTAATTTACGGCATAACAATGCCTGTTGTGTATGCCAGACGAATTCTGTTATGCTCTAAATAAAGCAATAATATACATATAATCGAAGAAGTAAAAAAATAAAAACTAAGTAAAAGAGGAAAGTAGAATGTGTGTGAGAGAGACAAAGTTTTGTTAACTCTACGATTACGATTTGCAGCGCGAAGTCCCGTTTTCTCGGCGATGTTCGAGCACGAGATGGAAGAAAGAAAGCAAAATCGTGTGGATATCACCGACGTGGACCACGAAGTGCTAAGGGAAATGCTGCGATTTATCTACACTGGTAAAGCAGCGAATCTGGAGAAAATGGCGGATGACCTGTTAGCCGCGGCGGACAAGTACGCGCTGGAGAGGCTGAAGGTAATGTGCGAAGAAGCACTTTGCACAAGTTTAGCCATTGATAACGCGGCCGACATCCTCATACTTGCCGATCTCCATAGCGCCGATCAGCTTAAGGCGCAAGCGATAGACTTCATTAATACGTAAGTTTTTTTTGCAGTGGAGAGAGTTGTTGCGAAATAGATCGACGACTCGTCGGCTAGAAAGATAATTTTGTTGTCCGAGGACAGAAATTACATTCTTTAGCTGTGCGAGTAAACGCGGCACGGAACAGGCGATATTAATTCGATGATGATACTTGCAGGCATGCGACGGATGTGATGGATACTATGGGTTTCAAGTCCATGGTCAACTCCCATCCGCACCTAATAGCGGAAGCTTTTCGAGCGCTTGCGACCCAACAGATCCCACCGATCGGACCGCCCAGAAAACGGGTGAAACAGAGCTGAAAGCAATCACCGCTGACTCCGGGCACGACCTCCACATCGCCCCCACCACTTTTGCATCCCTCTTGAACCTTTGTGTACAGTGATATAACGAGGTATAGTAGTGCTAAATAAATGTTTCCTAGTGCGCCACCCTCTGGTCTGAAATTGAAGTTGTCGACGAGAACTGACGCGAGAACCAACCATCCAACCGACTGTCAACAAGCTTTGGTTGAGAATGTCCAGAGATCGACGGGAGGAAAGGGAGAACCGTCTGTCCGTCCGGTCGGTCGAGGGCGAGTTTAAAAGAGCGTTCTCACACATACCCAAACTGTTGTGTTCAAGTGAGTGCCGGTAGTAAAAAGATATAGTGATGCGACCACACCATCAACGCAACTCTCGTTCATGTCTTCGTGCATCGAAGAAGGGAAGGACGAGCCGTCCGAAAAACGTACACACCCACAACCCCACCAGTACACGAACCGTACTTCTCGACCGGCCTGTGCGCGAGTCAATTCATCGTAGCACCGTCATCGGACAACGCGCTCGTTTTCTTCAATGCCAATACCGATGCCAATCGATCAGCTGTCGGTGACACATTGAAACACGTGCCACCAGGCTCATCATTATCATCGTGAATTTGCTTTTTCCTTTCCGTTTATCATCGAATGAACGAACGAACGAGCGGAAAGCGCACGACCGCGCGAGGCACCGGAGGTATATAGAGCTAGCCAGAGAGGACCAAGAAGGCGAGGAGCTTTCTCTCCATTGTAACTCGCCGCCGCGATTGCTGTAACGACGACAAAAGCGCGATGCACGAAGGAAGTTGTGATAGATGTCGGCCAGACTATTTAAACATTTTGTTCCTTTGTCGAGAGAAGAAGGAGAAACGACAAAAACGAATGAAGCGGATGTTCCGTAGCGCTGTTCGCTCGAGCGCGGAGAGAGATACTTGGTTTGTTTCTACCGATAGTAGTGATCTTTTTTAGTTCTAGCGCGTCGCAAACTCTTCCAAGACGGAGATATCATGCTAGTTAGTGTTCTTTTTTTATGATCTCTTTCTCTGAAACATATGTACGATTATTATATTATTATTATCATCATCCATCATTATCATCATCAATCAACATCATCATCATCATCATCATCATCATTACCACCACCACCATCGTCATCATTATCATCATCATGAGTACTATTAATGCTACACAATCTGTGCCCTATGTATTTTTGTATATTTTTTGTCTAGAGATGAGAGAAAATTCATCTTTCCCTTGATAAATTCTATTTCCATTTTTCGTCCTTTCTCCCCATTTCTCCCGTTCATAGGCACAGTTTGTTTTGTTTTCTGGAGTATTGCATACTGTAAGCGAAGTGATAGGATCGAATTATTATTCTTAATTATTATTATTAATGATTATTATTAATGTTTACGTTATAAAATTTATGGTTGTCCATAATTTTTCGAATCGTACGTTATCGCAGCGAGTATCGTGGAAATACTTTGTCCATCTTACGCCTTATATTGTGTTTTTTTAAAAAAACGTTACGATCGACAAATTCAAAATCGCCATGTTTATTATGGATTAATTGAAGAAAAAAAGAAAAAAAAAGGAAATTGTATAGGATAAACGTTATAGTCAGTTAGAAACGGCTTAAATGCTTTTGTTTGTGTGTGTCATTGATTTGATTGAATCGTAAAAATTATGTGGTCAGTGAACCGAATTATGGACAACCACAAGAGGCGAAAACCAATAATCAATCGTTTAGTACCGTGTACTGGCTTCCTGATCCTCCGACCTTTAGCTTTACCAAGAATCGTCTTAAATATGCGGAATACTTATTACCATTTACACACATCATTAATGATGACAATTAATGCCATACATGTTCTGTGATAAGACCACTGTAATTACTGCAATTGTAATCGATCCTTTCTAGAGACAGTCTCCCCCTCCCCCTTGCCCCCTGTCCTTGACGATCCTGGCAGCCAGTGAATTTACTTGTTATATAAAATACATACAATAAGCGACAGTCGTTATCCGGACAGTCCCAAACCTAGGGTTTAGTCACTCTCGATTTTAAGATTTTTACACTGTACATATCTGCTGTATATTTTATAAGGACCGAACACAAACAAAAAAAAACAATATGGAGAATCCTACACTTTTACGAAACCGTACAATAATCAGTATAATTTATTTCAATTTTACAGACTGCGCTAAGCTCATGTTCCTTGAAACACATTACCGATACTTTAACTAAATGTAATATAACGCCGACAAATTGATACAAATTAGGAGGTACACACACATGTACAATCATTGTAACACATCGAACGATATGATTTACGTTGAAGACAAAGGATTGAATTAACAATGGAAATCTAGTTAGAACAATTTTTCCACTCTTTCTACGCCGATCTTTTATTTGAGTCTTATTGCGATAGGACTGAAATAAAAAGAAATAAAAAGGGGAAAGGAAAACCAGAAAAGCGGCAAATTAAGGAACAGACTTTGACCGTGCTCGTTCATATTTTACAAATCTGTGACCATTCTCTAATTCTCATATCTATCTTTGGGACTGTACGGCGATTTCTCTCGTGGAACACACATAATGTTGAATGTCTTTTCTTAGAGAAAAAAAAAGAAATGAAAGAAAAAGAGAACAACCGCAGAATAAAACAAATTCCGATGAAAATAATAGCAATTCGTAAAATATAGATTGAAAAAAAGTAACAGATAGGCGTAATTCCGTGCGAACCAATCCGCAAAAATAATTTGAGCGTATATGACTGGATTATAATTTGATAAATTATTAAGTACAAGTAAGACAAGTGTTACCTCATCATAATGAAAGCCGGCGCATGTTCGTGACCGATTGATCACCACGACTGCTAGACATTACCGTGCGCCCGCTCTCTGACACACATACTTCCGTTATATATTGCATTTAAAAAAAAAAAGCCCAAAACGCTCTTTTGTAAAATGAATGGTGTACACGCAGCAGTAGTGGCTGACAAACGGGTAATGTCACGCGCGCCGCTCATTGATCCCAGCTCATACGGACATTCATTTTCCATTTTATTTTAAATCATTGCACCACATCAAATAAATGACATTTTCATTATATAATCGCAAAGCGTAATTTTTATTGCCCTACTACTACAAATTTGTAATGTTATTGCGATCAGATAATTATGGAGCAATCTGAAAAATTTTTGTAAAGTTGAAATTTTCAAAAAGTAACAATATAACATGTGTCAATCTCTTATACGATTATCAGTGTGAACGCAATAGGTTCAAAGAAACGTGAGAACAATTTCCTTCAAAATAAATCTATTTTATTGGAATAAAATATTTACTGGACGTATTACAATATCGTTATATATGTTGAGTGATAGAAAATGTGGCAGGAGACTCGTTGGAGTCTCGAGATCTCTCTTGCAGTTTCGGCGTTCCCGGATACTGTGGAGGAGCTTCCTCCATGGATGTCTGTAAAAAGGTGCGTTTAATCGTCAACAAAAAAAGACATTTTAACGTTTATTTCTCATCACATCGTGGTAAGTTATATCTTGAAGATGTATATATATGTACACATATATCTTTATCGTAATCAATAGGTTAAATGAGATAAAATTAACGTACCATGTTGTAGGGAGACGTGTAAAGAGAAGGAGCACTGCAAACTTCGTTATACGAAGGTGGTCTCTCTTGTACGGTTTCACTGGTGCTGCGATTCGTTGAAGTGCCAGAGTCGCGTTGCAGTAACGTGCGCCTCATACTTGTCCGTACTATTCCCTCCTTTATCCTGGATTAAAGAAATATTGAAAATATTGTGAAGTGCAATTTTCATATTGTGAATAACTAATAAAAAGTATTGTAACTGCAAACTATAACTTTTCAGGAAAATGATTTTTATATTAGAAGCCTTCATGAGAAACTTCAAAATTAATACCTCGATGAAAACAAAATTACAAAATTAAAATTATTTGAAAACTGTAATATGTAAGAAATATTTGGAAAAAATTACTCATAAAGCAGCACTGGAAGATGACTGTAACTAAAATGTTTAGAAATGCAATCGGTGTAAGATTTAGAATTCTTACAACAGAGCTATATTTACGCTATTGAATTTGTTGTAGTTATATTTTATTACGAATAAATTAAGTATACGAGATAATAAAGAATACGAGAAATTCAGCGAGATGAATAATTTATCGTACTTTTTGCATATTTTATAGTAAATTACGATCAAGCCGATAATGCCATATCCACACAAGATGTAAATATTGATTTGATATAAGCTGATTGTTTTTTGCTGATTGTGCCTGGAACAGATATTCATTTATCAGATAATCAGATTTTGATACAAATGAAATATAAACTGTCGTAGCATACAAATCATCGTAATTCTTACCAGCATGAAGTGCAGTCGGAGCAAAAGCAGCATGAAAATCCAGGACAGCAAATCAAACATTCGTCTGCAATTGCAATAATATATATTAAAAAATAAAAAAAAGGGCTGTGCGTGCAAAAGTTTTGATATACACGTACCATTATATGTTTGACAGGAACAATCCAAATGCGATCTGATGAGGCAGTGTGTACAATTTTCCATATCTGATTGTGAATATCTTTCTGTCTCGAAGGAAGGCTCCAAATCTATCGAAAGATAAATTTGATATAGAAAAATTATTCTATTGAAAAGTAATATAACATTTTATATATTATGCATACTAATTGATATTTTTCTATAGCATTTTTGTTTACTATTACGCTTAATGGTTCTTAAAATTATAGCATTGTGTCTTTAAAATTTGCAGACAATTTTTCCTCCAAAGAATGTAACACAAATACTTTAGCATATATAAATGATTTACCAGTAGATAGATAATGAAATATTTAAGTAGATACATAGATTAGAACGCAGGTCAAGGTATTAAAAAAATAAAACATATAAAATTAGATGCATTTTATATAAATTTAAATAAGATGATTTTTATATACCTAAGCTCTCGGCTGGATTGATTGCAACGCAAAAATATAAGTATCCTAACAAAAATAGAATCATATCATAATATCTGTATGTAGATGTGTAAAGAGCCATTTAGTTTAAATGTTACTTGCACTAGCATAATTAACAATTAATTACAAGATTTTGCACATTTGATTGCACAGAATACAACACTGCTATGCACAAAAGTACCATCTTAAAAACAAACGTTTGGATAAAACAATGACCACTTCCAACAATATAAAAATACTTTACACTGTTTAAAGTATGATGTTTATGTCCGCACTGCTAATCTTATCAACGTGACTCAGATAAAATATGCTATCAGCAGTAACAGGAACAGGTATTTCCTTATACGAACTTACTTATTAATTACAACTTCTAACATGCCAATGAATTATACCGATATTAAATACACATTATTTTTTATAAATATTTACTTATTTTGTATAACTATAGTAAGGAGGTAAAAAGATAAAGGCAATTACAAGTACTATATCTGTATATTGTAATAGACACATACACATACACACACGTGTATACATGTGTCAATAAATATTAATAACCAAAAATCTTAACATTTGCAGAATTGAATAATTTACAGTGGATTTTGTATGCTTTGTATCAGATCAGTCATTGTTCTATACAATATATATCAATTAGTTAATGTGACTAATGCTTCTACAATGTCTCCTCTATGTTCCCTGAGAGTCTGTTCAGCTAAAGTCCGGCTAATCTCCATCTCTCTCATCTAAAATAAAGATGACGCAAGTGATGTTAATATACTAGTAAAAATTTTTAGTTACAAGATGTACGCAAAACAATCAATATACTCACAATTAAATCAACATCTTCTTTCTTAATAGACACTTTGAGCAGTTCCTTTTCCTTGGCCTTTTTTTCTGCAGCTTCTTTATCTCGGCGATCGCCGATTATGCTGAGAGCCTATCAGACATTCTTTTTAATACGAAGATTAAATTAACTTTAAGCGCGACAAAAAATTTGAGCAGAATTCAAGAGACACATAGGTTATATTCTAAATTATTTGAAACAACATTTCTATTTCATAATCGAAATAAATTCTTTTTCAGATTCTCACGCGGCGATCGAAAATCTAATGACTTGAAAAAATAATTTTAAGAGTATAGTGTTTTATTTATATTTATAAACAACACAAATGTGACGGCTGAGAACTGTATGCACGTGTATCTAACGAAGGACGTATCTTACACAGGAAAATCCATCGGATGACGAAATCTCTTTCTCCTCGGCGTAATCTGTCACTTTTTCCAAATCTGCGGCTCCGCTATCATATTTGGCCGCTTTCTTTTGAGATTTTTCTTGTTGCACATCGTCAGAATCTCCGTTTACATCGTCATCCGCCATTTTTCCATGTGAGCCCAGTTTATTGAATTATATATACACAAATATATATATATAACTGAATCGCCACGCGGTATGAAAGAGCGGTATTTTACACGTAACAAATTTCCTAGCGAAGTCAATATAGTTTTTTTTCGCTAAAAAATAAAGCATAATGCAAAATTTACATTGGTCCGTTATTCAACATGCAACATATCGTAGCCAATAAAAAAATTGCTTAAGCTCTTTTCTCTAACCGCAGTAGTATTCCTAAATGGCTGCTTATGAACGTCGTTGCTGGAAACACTGTTATGACATCTCTGTTTATTCTTTTTCACAGGTTAAACGATGAAGAGCGGGAAATATATTGTTGAACATTGTATGTTGTAGACAAAATAAAAGCACGATTATTATAGTTATACATTGTTAATTCGCGATATTAAAATGAGCGCAAAGTTGGATAATTTGCTTAATCAAAAAGACCGAAAGCAACTACACGAATTCGTGCAGAAGACATCGACTGAGGAGGTATTTTGTTATTTATATTAACTTTATATAAAATTACAAATAATATGCTATGATTCTTTGTGAAAATAAGCCAATGTTAAAACAGATAATTTCTTTTAGCTGACAAAAATAATATCTACCAGAATATGTAATTCAGATATTTCCAAAGTATTGGATGAGATCTTGCAGGTGTGCTCAGAATCTGAAAATTTATATTCAAAAAGACTCAAGCTGATAGAGTCTGTTTTAAGAGCTTTAGGAGAAGCCAAAGTTTCAATCAGTCATGCAAATGACATTGTAAATCGGATAGTGGTAGATTTTCCAAAATATCCAAAACTGCATTTGATCAAATTGGTGGAATTTTGTCTTGCTAGTATTCGTAACAATGATGATGAATTTAGAAGGTATACAAAAAATTATACATGTATCTTGATATCTTTTGTATAAAATTATTCTCATAATTATTGTTGTCAATGATTATAAGAATTGTTTTTATAATAAAAGCCAAACATGAACAATTTACTTGAATATTTTAGTTGGAAAGATTTATTACCTATTTTGTTGGAAGTATTGGAGGAAGAAAAATATATTACTCATATGAACAATGAAGTGTCTGGTTCTAAATATAAATCTATTATTATTAACAACATATGCAACAGTGAATGGAACACAGAAATTATACCTTCATTAGCAACAATGTTCAGGTAAATATTCTTACAATTTTTAACAAAAAGAAAAATTAAAGGAATTAACAATTTATAATGATTGCTTTTAGAGATATATCTTTAGAAAAGGAGGATCATTCCACAGTAATCACATTATTCTGTACAAGGCTGCAAAACGTACCTCTTGAAGAAGTACCTCCTTTTGTGCATCAATCATTAAGATTATGCACTAATCAGGATAATAAACATCTTTTAGAAGCATTACGAAGATATTTTACACTGCAATTCTCTCAAGCTAATTCTGATGATAAAGACAGCATTGAGACTATAAGTAAGAAGATATAGGAAATACAGTAATTTAAACGACATGAAGATTATAATAAGTACGATATGTTTATTTATTTTAATGTTTAATTATATTGAATTACAGATATGATAAATCCCAAGGAAGTTCAAAATATTGAAAGTACAGTATTATATCACATATATCAAGCAGCACAGTTGAATCACCAACATATAAGAGATTACATTAAGTATTTCAAAAGTGTGTTGCACATTCCTGAAGTTTTATTGGAACCTTTTATGCTTTCTGTGTTACTCACAGTTGCTTCTATCGATGAAAATCAGGTAATGATTCATATTAATATAACATTTTATTATCATAATAATTAATTTTATACATTTTTTTACACTTTGCTTACACTTTGAATATTATTGACTCAATATAAAATTGTAGATTTTTGAAATGTTACGGACGATTATTAATAAGCGAAACGAAAATGATGATAGACGGAAAAATAGTATGTGGTTGAGAAGTCTGATTTCCGATTCTTGTAGTATAATGACTGTGATAGGGCGTGTCCTCGATGCAAGGTAAGTATACAGTACATTTTGTATCAAATAATATAATAAAAAACAAATAGCTTATTTTAATTTTGTATTATTCTTATTTGCAGTAACAAGGATCGTCATTTAGTGCTGAAAGGACTTGTGGATTTGGCATTTGTTCTCATGGCTGCAGAAAATAAATCAAAAACAGTACCGCATCCTTTATGGCAGATTGGTATAAATATACTTCAGAAGATCATGAAAATTCATCATGAAACAGTCGCGACTGTCTTTCAAACGTTAATTGATAAGATAATGGCAGGTGGATCGTGTATTTCTCAATACACTGGTAAAATCTCTAAATTTTAACATACTAGTATTTGTTACAATGTGTTATAATTTCTAAGCACTAACAGCTATTATTATTTATTTGCAGATTGCTTGGCATACATGTGTCGTAAATTAGCGGTTCTTGTATTGGGTCATCAAGATGCTATAATAGCTCTTTTTGATCAAATCTCATCTATACCTGGAGAGAATAGCATTTTTATCGTTTCCGCAATATTTCCATTGATACAAATCTCAGTCAGTCTAAGAGACAATTTGATCTTAATATTGAGGAAGACTCTTTACAGAAAGGGCACGGCTAATCGACAAATGGCAGTCAGTGGAATTTTGGAAATGCTGAAAAAATTAAAGATGCACTCTTTAAGCGGTCTTGTGATGAGTTCAAGTCAATGTGCAAATTCATCGTCGACTGGTACAAGTTCCTCATCCATATTGACTCAGGTTTGATTAATTACATCGTTAATTGAGAAACTTTTGTAACTGCAAAATTACTATGTAAACTTCTATTTTGCAGGTAACATTGGAGAGAGGTACTCCTGTAACAGGATCCACTTCGAGATACAATAGAACTTTATGTTATGACGTACTGGGTATTTTACGAAGATGTTTTACTCATGAATGCAAAGTCCGATTACATTTGTACAACGGTACGACATCGAAGAAGTCATTATTCATTTTGCTCAAAATTCAAATAGTTAATTATTATCAGTTTTGTACGATTATTCAGGTTTATATGAAGCTGTATCGCACAATACCGAGATAGCGGAATATGTATTAGAAATGTTACTGCCGCATTTTGAAATGTACTATGAAACGGACGAGAATGTCGTGATCCCAGTTAAATTGGAATTATGTACGATTGTACAAGCAGATGAGGTTGTTCCGCAGGAACCTCTGGCGGAACTAATATCTATATTACAAAAGATTTACATCAAGTCGGCTTTAGCGAAATCATCTCTTATAAATGATTTGGCTATAATCTTGGAATCTCTCTGCAGACGGATGTCGCAACTTGAAACGGAACATTTAAATCTGGTAAATTTGAAGGAAGATTAGATTTAATAAAATTCTATGTTATTTATAATCATTAATCTCTGATTTACTTTTTTTTTTAATAGGATGACAAGCTTGATTTAAACAACAGTAGCAGTATCAAAACCCAAGAAAAATTACAAAATGTTTTATTAATAGTCAAAATTTATGAGGCTCTCATGTCCTTTAGAATTGACGCATGGTCTGTGGATTGTTCAGATACTGCACAAAGTGTTAAAAATCTATTCAAAGGATACATGAGATTTGTTGAGTTTACCAAGGTAGAAAATAAAAATGTGTTTAATACATATATGCATTTACAATGCATTATAAATATTTATATTCATAATTGATGTAAATCTTTTTAATTTTGCAGCGCGTACCAAGAGTTAAAAAAGGAGAAGGCAAGAAGGCTAAAAAGACACAAAATGATACAAATAATACAACCATCAAAAAAACTGCCCGGACAAGCAGCATAAAGCTACCACCTAGCATCATGGATCTGTCTGCAATATACAAAATGCTGTCACTCTTCTACTTGTGAGTATCTTTAAATTTAAATGTGGTTTATAAATATATGAACAATTATAATTACGTTACAGGAAATCCGTTTCTTGGACAACTATGGAGCAAGTGGCTGTGCTAGTAGAAAACCATGATTTCTATCATTATATTCTGCGAACGCTAATGCAAAGCTTACAAAATGTTAAACTGTTGTCAGAGTATAATTTACGGAAACATAAGAAACAGTACATGAAGACTTACTTCGAAATTGGAAAGTAAGAAATGTGTGAAAGTGCGATATTCGTGTTCATGCAAAATGTTAATTCTTTTTTCTACTATTTTTAGATTATTGTTTGATCATGTCGTAAAGGACTTTAAAAAAGTCCTTGATAAGGACGAACCAGGCACTACATTAGCATTAGAATGCTTTAAGGAATTATGTTGCTTAATCTGCACAAGCTTTACCTCCGAATTATTGCAATTTCTCAATGTTATTGTTTGTAAGTGTTTAAAATATTTTTATAAGAAATTTTTTTGTATACCTCATATATAATATTATTTTTTTACAGCTAATAAAACAACTCGTTCAAAAGATCTTAATGTACAATTAGAGAACGTGATTTCTGTTTTAAGAGCGAATTTCAAGACATTTCTTAGTGAGAAGGAAGAATATGAGGAAAATTTCAAAAAGATACTTAATATATTATTGGACATTATACATCAACTCACGCGAGAAATCAACTTTTATGAAACGAATGGCAATGAGGTTGGTATTCTTTTTGATAAATAATTGTCACTGCTTTATAAAATAAAAAAAGTTAATAGAATATTAAATATTAAAATTTATTGTATAAGATATTTGATTCGATGATGGAATTCACACAATTGGAAAATATAGATCCCCAAACTTCTTTAACTATTTTCCAAATTCTCTTCTGGATAGAAGAACGTAATAAAGAATACGGGGAATTATTATTAGATGTCACGTTTGCATTGTGTGAGAAAGTAGGCAACATCGATCATGTATGTATAATCTGTATACCATGTATATGTGTTTATTTTATTGTAACTATGTGTGTGAAAACATAAAGATTTTTAATTAAATATTTCTTGCTCATAGGCTGAGATGTCAACAACCAATAAGTTTAAAATTATTTACGAAGATACAGCGTCGCAGCTTTACAATTTGGTGAATAGTTCGATAAAGGAGAAATTGGACAATGTGTCTTGGTTGTTAATGCGGCTTAAAGCAGAGCAAAATATAACTTATCCGTCTGGCACGGATCTGGAAGCTCGTATGTATACGATTATGTGAGAATGAAGTATTTGAGAATACAAACTATGTGACAAATATGATTTAATCGTATTATTTGTAAAAATCATTAATTACTAATATATTTATTTTACAATTGGATTCTACTTTCTTTGATACTAATATAAAAATGTTTAATTACAGATCAAGAAAAGCTGAAAATTCAAGAACGTAATTTGTGTAGACAATTGTCACATGTTATACAAATACTTTATACATTAGCCAATGTCGCTATTAAACCAGGATCAACCACGGAATTTATGTTCAATAATTTAAGGACTTTATACAACATACTTGGCAGTCTTACAAAATATTTCCACGGAAAATCCAGTAAACAAAATGCAGCCTTTCAATCAGTCAAGTACAGCCATTTTTTATACTCTGTACATGCTATAAGATAAATTTGTTGGCAGTTTCCATTTTAATTTTCTATATGAATCTTTTATGTAATTTCAGATTTATTCAAGTGATTCAATCGGCCGGGAAACCATTGAAATCTGCATTTTACAATTTAGTAACACATACCGAAGTATTGATTTAAAATATGATTTAACTTTATTATTTGAAAAATGATACACTTACTAATATACTTACTTTTATACAGGAGAACCAAAGTACATCGAAGAAAGCTGATTCTTACGTGCAAAGGAACAAGATTCTGAAGGAGACTAAGACAATACCCCGAGTTGTATATGAAATCGAACAATTTTACAAAGAGATTTTAGCACTTGAAAAAAAGACTGGTGTAAGTGTACTTTTTATAAAATTTTTATAGCACATTAAGAAAGAAATTTATACTGTGACATGTATTTATTATTTAGATTCCACTTGAGACTTACATAAAGCATAGCATAACGCGAGATTTCCGTATAAAAAACACACAATTAGTAGAAGCATTCGACAAGATGGATATCAGTATGGTAAGAATATTTATTAAGTTTTTTTTTATATATTTCATATATAAGTAATTTTTTTCATATTCACAATATTGTAACAGCTGAATACACAGAATTCGTCTCGTAATGATACATCTAATTCAAATATAAATGATACGTCTACAAGAACTTCCCCGGAAATATCATCTTCAAAACGATCCAGAATGAATGACGTATCTATGGAACTGTCTACGGAATTGCCGCCTTCGAAGCGATCTAGAACTCGATCTAGAAGCGAGTTAGACTCTTGAAAATAGGTATCTTATTTCGTAGTTTGTACATCTTTATATATCTCAAATATTTTTTACTTCTGTATAAAGTTTAAGTTTACGTTGTTTCTATATTTCTTGATAAAGATTTTTAAACAGAGAGCTGCAATTACAGTACGAGCCATCGGTAATACAAACAAGAGCGTCGTCTGCATATCTGAAAGAAAAATTATTATTTTTCAAAAATTGATAGATTAATTTAAAGTGTACTAAAAACACTATTACGCATTTACTTAGTAAGTTGTCCAGTCTCCATTATTATCGAGAATTCGCTGGCATCGTCTTGGCATCTTTCTGTAAGATTTTCTGCATATTGTTGCGGTAATGACCGCCAAATAATTCGGATATGGCGACACAATTGTTTTAACGTGAACATACGCTTTTCTTGAAGCTTTTTCTTACTAATGGCCCACACATTTTCAATTGGATTCGCATCAGGCGACTGCGCAGGCTAATCCAAAGTCTGAATACCATTTTCGTAAACGTCGCTTTTCGACATGCTCTGGTTTGAAGAAAGGTTTCAGTATCGTGCTACGCCAAGAGATGTTCACCTCATGTAATCGCCTTTGTAGAGTCGTTATACTTATGTTTACTTTCTTTTTGGCCAATAACTTTTGTCCTTGTCGCAATGTCAACAGAGAAATTTGCTGAAATAATTCTAAAATGACTTTATCTTCTTTTTTCGACGTCCCTCGCGTTTTTCCTCTCTCGGGCAATCGTCAACATTTTTTAATTCTTTGTATCGTATTACCCACTTCCGTACAAAGTCTTCTGACTTATGCATATATTTTGCAGCAGCTTTATGTCATTTTAGGTCCTTTACTGTGAGTACACAAGAACACTGCCTCAAAACGTTTAGCATACGGCGCACTCATTTTATAAATCACGTATTCTTATCACAATGGAAAATAATACTGGCGTTTTTATAATAAAGCGTAGTAGTCTTCCCCCTTCCTTAACGAATACCATAATAGTGGAGCTCTCTAGCAATTTTTTCTTAAAATAATCTAGCCGACGCTCTTGTTTGACAGACTGTATATAAAAATTAACACATTAAATATAAATATTTTATTACACAATGTTTAATTTATGAAGCGTAATATAATGCTTTATAATACATGCAACACATTAGTCATATCATTCATGGTCATATTGCAGCTATTTCGCTGATATTTTTTTAAGAACTGGTCTGCAATCCTATGTTAAACAAAATGTCACTTGAAATTAACAAATTATGCAACGAAATCCAGAGGTCTGTTGAATCCACCCTTTCTGTTCATGTACTGCCTGTATTTTCTCTTCAAAATGACATGAACAGCGCCCACATCATTTCCATCTACTTTCTTTCCTTTAGTAGTATCAAAGTCACAAAATCCCATTATTCTCATCATCTCTTGTTCCTCCGGTGTTTTTCCTTGAAGATCCGCTTCTGCAATGTGGAAAGAACTATTACATTTTTAATCATATTAATAGTATGAATTTTATTAATCTTTTTGGTTCTCACAAATCACAATCTACTGTATCTTAAAGAATATAATACCTGTGATAATAGGTCGTTCATTTGTGGAAGGTTTTGGTTTTGACCTATGTTTTGATCTATCACGTTCTCTTGATCTAGATCTGGTGTATGACCTTCTATGTCTCTCTCGCTCACGGTCTCGTTCCCTGTCTCTGTCTCTCGACTTCGCTCTATCTCGTTCTACGGATCTGCATAAGATTTAATGTTTTAAAGCAAAGCAACAGCAACATGATAAATTAATGACAAGTTATTCTTTTTCCCAGGTTTTACCTTCGTCTTCTCTCTCGTGATCGTCTTCTTCGCCGGTCTCTGTCACGTTCTCGTTCCCGAGATCGATCTCTTCGTCTTCCTGGCGATGGTGTGCGACTACGTCCCATTCTATAAAATTATATGTATTATAAATAATAAAGTCTAAAATTAATTATTGCAAAAAACAATAGAAATTAATACAGCATTTTGAAGTCGTCTAATAAGCAGGTTTTAAGATATTGATCTCTTACAAATTAAAAACATTGTTACAGTTCTGCCCTAACCATTTATTTCACAAAAATTATTTGCAATATGAACACGAACTACCAATTCATTTAATTACTCGATAAATGAAACTTACGTCAATTGTTCAAAGAATCAAAGTAAGAATTTGCATTAATTAAAATGACATTTTATTTATAATATAGATTATACATTTATTCCAAACACTACCTTCTCGCACTTATGTATATACTTATTTAGGGATTTTTTGGTATGTATGTTGTCTCGAAGGACTCCAGAGGAGCTACAACTTGCAGCATAATTTTTGTAATCCTAACCTAATAACGTAAATTAGCATCCGTTACAACAACTTTTGACAATTTTTGTGAAAATTGAAAAGGAAAGGAGCGAAAGTAAATAGCGATATTGGATTCTCTGCACGATAATTTATAGATAAAGAAGTAGAACACAATTTTTCACGAGGATGGACGACAATGCGCGCACGCTTTATTGTGGAAATCTAAGCGATAAAGTAACCGAGGATGTTCTCTACGAATTATTTTTGCAAGTTAGTATTCTAGAAATTATCCTAATAAGAAAAGGATATGTAATGTGTCGAAAAGAAAAAAATCTAAATCAGACATACTTACTCAGTTAACAAAATGTTAGGGATATTCCGCAGGAAAATTGAATCAAAGGTTATTCCTAATATTTTGATGAGTGTGTATATGAGATTGAGAAAATACTATTTTTGAAAATATAATTAAAAAATATCTAATAAATAATCTGTGTAGACTTAATGCAGATATGTTTATGCTATGATAGGGAGGTCCTGTACAAAAAATAAGTATTCCTAAGGACCGTGATGGGAGACAAAGACCATTCGGATTCGTCACGTACAAACACAGAAATTCTGTGGATTATGCTTTGCGTCTATTTGATGGTACCAGATTGTACGATCGTCCCATTAATATGCAACCAAGGAACCATACAGAATCGCATCCAGCAGAACCACCTCCGAATCCAGTTCAAAATTTGAATTATATGTTGGAACTGGGTCAGCAAATGATTTTAGGAAATTATCCACCTCAAATCAGCGATATTGCATTTGACCCAAATATTTCACAAGATGCTTCAGGATGTCAGAGGCAAGTGGATGCAAACTCTGGTAATGATGATAGGAATAAGAGAAACCATCCTTATCAGAGAAACAGAGATAGAAATCTAGATAGAGACAGAAATCGAGACAGAGATAGAGGAGATAGGGAAATAGAGAGAGATGGGAAAAGAAATAGAGAACGAAATCATGGCGATTATTACAGAGACGAAAGATCATACTATAATCGTGATAATAATTATCGTTCCAATGGCTACTCACGATATAATGATCATAGAAAAAGATGGACTTATCATTAATACCAATTATATTCTGATTACATATGTCGCTGATAAGATTTTCATTTAATCCTTAAATTTGCTTTGTTTAACATTTATTCTATTTTTTGTTTTTTTTTTATTATGCTTACTTCAAAGTATATATAAATATATTGGTATTATAATTTTTGATCCGACTCTACAATTGAGTAAATATTGTAAATTCATATTTTGTAATATATAGACTGAGTTGTATTAATTCACAAAATAAAAAACGACCATATAATCTATTATGAGTTAATATTTCAAACAACTAATCAAGATACTGAAAAATTTTGACAAATTGACTTAATGTCAAAATCGAATACACCAAAAGGTATATATTGTTTAGTAACAGAGAAATTGTAAAGTTCATAAAACCAATACTAACCATTACTTCAAAATAATTACAAGTGACGTATTATTTTTTACCACTAAGACACCATTGAGAATGTCATTATTTTGAATTGTTACCAAGATATTGATTTGTAAAAGATTGTATGATATCTAATAATGTAAAGTATTATATCACATAAGCAAATGACTTAAATAAATTAATATAAAATGATTTATTAAGCAAAAATTATATATTGCCTGAAAAACATACCTATTAATTGCATACAAAAACACACATATTCTACTAACATTGATGTTCAATCACACAGACAGAATTTATTTCTGGTTATTATTACATCAATAAATGTATCTTTATATCAATAACAATCAATAATTTGTACGTGCATCGTTACATCAATATCAATAAGAGAATGAGAATTTAATTGTAAGTTTTATTTTTGTATTTACATATGCTAACAAATATTAAATACATAACAAATATAGTATGACTTGTACTGTTTTCTTAGGCTGTCTTTTTCTTTCGTCTGCTCGTCTTTAAAGATACGAGCAGCTTTTTGTGCCAATGTAATCACAGCTGCATTGATATTTCCGCTTGGTAGCGATGGAAGAATCGATGCATCCACGACATATAAATTTTTCATATTGTAAACTCTGTAACAAGCATGAACATACACATGATAAAAATATGATCTATACATAATAGAAGTTTGATCATTAACAGAAGAATACATATTACTGGATGTAATAAAATTACATGCTTTAGTTGATGTTTAATGAAAACTTAAAGGAAAAAAATTTTAATCTGTATTTTCAAAATCTTTCATTTTGTATCCTAATACAATCCTAGTATATTTTATCTGTCCTCTCTAAATTATGTATAAGTTAAAATTTTTTTATTTATTAGTTCTGTTAGCATTAATCGTGCAATAAAGCATGCATCTCTATTACATCTTTATCTTGTATCCTTTGTTTTTTCTAGTTTTCAATTAATGATAATTACTTAAATGATGCATCAACAACGTCACCCATGCGACATGTACCAGCTGGATGGTAAGACGTCAATGTTAAATGTTGTACATAACATTTCCAATATTCTTTAGTATCAAATACATGGTTTTCGCAACCAGGGAAAGATTTTCGATTGAGAGACGCACCATGAGCTCTCAAAACATTCGTTTTTAAAAGTTTCTTCACAAAATCTAAACCTAAATATTCATATATTTGATTATGTGAAATACTATATATTTCATATTCGTATAGAAATGCTTCTTTACGTTTTAACATACTGTGTACATTTTAATCACCTGCTATGAGAGTATTGATATCGTCTTCATTTGATAAATACTTGGGATCAATTAGCGGTTTGTCAAAGGGATTGCTGCTTCGCAATCGTAATTCACCGCTACTTTTAGGATGTAATAAAACAGGTGCAATTGTTACTGTATTTTCATACGAAAGAGAAGCAAAATATTTGCTGTAAACCTAGAAGGGAATATTTATAAAAATTGAACCTCTTCTCCTCCCCAAAAATATTCAAATGCTTTTTTTAAGTTTCTATTATTTACACATTTATTTGGCGCAATTATTTAATTTGTATATACACATACCTCATCAGAAATTCCCAACGCTTTTTTAAAAATGAAGCCATAGTCTTTAGATGCCCCCAGAGGTAATATCATTAATTGCAAATCTGGTATTGTAGATTTATTTCTATGTAAAGTGCTGTGAAATGTCCCCAATACTTCAATACCTGCTGACGTCCATGGTCCTAATTAAATAAATCAATAAATTAATTTTATCACAAGATTAAAGTACAATAGCAATATATATGTATTCAACAAAATTTTTTTATGATTATATTATTTTCTTTTTAGTTGCTATATCTACTAGTAATTCGACAATTTAAAAATAGGAAAAGATAGCATAATCTCTGAAGGAAGACAAGTGCATTTGCATATGTATCACTAATACTTCGTACTTTATTTATAAAACATTATTTCACCTTTTCCAAAAAGGAAATATTCGAAGGCTGACATAGGATTAAATATATCGAAGAGATTCAATCCAAGACTTGCATTAAGCATAATCAAATCGAGACCGGTTAGTATATGATCCATCAAAGACTGACCAACCGGCAAATCATTGATCACGTTAATCTAGATGACATACATGGTGAGTTATACAATTACAAAAAATAAATGTAAATGAGAGGTACTTATATTGAAAAGTAAGTGGTTTGATTATATTTTGTTAAAAGTTGTTGTGTTTATAGACTTAAAGTTGATTATTAGAAATTACTTACACCCAAATCCTCTAAATGCTTTTTTGGTCCAATTCCAGATAACATTAACAATTTAGGGCTCTCAATAGCACCAGCAGTTAGAATAATTCCTTTATTTGCTACTGCAATATATTTCTCACTAAATCTGATAAATTCAACTCCCTCAGCTTTATCCAAATTCACTAATATCTTTAATAGTAATTATTACATTTTACTAATCTTTGCCACACAAAAAGAAGCAATATTTTTTTCAAATAGACTTACTTTGGTGACATATGCATGAGTAAGTATGGTCAGAGCGTGGTTACGTTTCTGATATAGTACTTTGTCTGAACTCCACCTTTTGCCATTTTTCATTGTCAATTGAGCTTTCATGAAACCTAGATAATAAATCAAATATGTAAAAATACAACATAAACATGTATAAAATATCAGAAATAGATAATAGATAATTAGAAATAGGTAAGAAATAGATACCTGTGCTCAATTGTAAATTTATGTTTCCTACATCATGTTTCAACTCTCTCAATGCCTCTAAAATTATATCAGCAAACATAGAATTCCATCTTAATTCACTGATGCTTACTGAATCATCATTTTTCGCAACTGCCTCTAAGAACATTGAGATTTGAGGTAAAATTTAAACATATTTAAATATATCTAAAAATTTTACATAGATTTATAAATCTGCATTTATAAATCTTATATACCAGTAAAGTCTGGAAACCATTTTTCATAATCCATCCAATGTCCCAATACATAAGCCATGTAATTTAGACGACTTGTTCCTCCAAGAATTTTACCTCTAGGCCATCTGCTTTGCTGTAACAAAATCTGTGTAACAAGCGTACATATCTTAGATTTAAAAAAATGCAAATATACTTACATTATTAATTAAAGCCTTACATGCATGCTCTTGAGGAATGGTAATGTACTGCCAATCATAAGGGGTTTTTTGAATCATCGGTGCAATAAGAGGTATGTCAAAAAAAGGTGGTGGATCACCACCTGCTTCTAACAGTAATACATTATACTTGTTATCCTCTGCTAAAAGTGTTGCTAGAATTGCACCGGAACTACCAGCACCAACTAAAATAATCCCAAATAAGTAAAAGAGAATAATATTATGGTCTTTAAAATTATAATAAATGAATGTGTATTGCAATAAATGGCAAGTCCATTTTATTTAACAAATACAACCGAATGACAAATAGAATAAATATAAAAGAACAAGTTATTTTTCACAAATTATTGAAAGAAATACTTGTAAATTTAAAGTGTATATATTTAACATTTAAAAATGTTATTGTATATCAAATCTATATAAAAATTTATCAGACAAAACATTTGTTTTTATGTTTATTCGCTTTTCATTTGTAATTCAATTTATTCTAATTAGATGTACAATACTTACCAACAATATAATCATATTGTTGCATGTTTTGAACATTGTCAAAGAACAAGTGAAAATATACATCCAATATATACGCAAAATAAATATAAGAAAAAAATATCGTTGTCAATGTGCTAATAAGCACGAGTAGTAGTAATTTTATGAAAATATCCATTTTTTCTAAATATCTTGCTTTTGTAGATTTATCGCCGAATTAATACATACTGAAACATGTTTCTTATCTGTGAATGACGAAGACAACAACAGTGAATAGCGGATTATCTGTATCTCTCTTATTTATGGTGCATCGAAGCCTTTATCTTGGTTTTGTGCAATGACGAATTTACGCTGATGCAAGATTAATATAGAATTTAATGTAAGACATTAGATACGCAATAAAAAAAGAGTATAGTTTTTAGGAATTAATTTAGCGTAAAATAAAATTTTTAGAAAACACATTTTCTTGATTATCAAATATTATTACGCGGATGATGGACACAATGTGAATCTTGCATAAGGGTAATCACCCTTTGTAGCAAAACAGCGGATAAAAACATTATGTAATGAGTTTATCGCTCATTTAAATATGCAACGAAAATACGAAAAGCATATACATAATCAGAGATTATGTATAATATGTGTATCTGTCATATATATATATATATATATATATATGCATGCGTATGTATAAACAAAGGTTAACTTTCTCGATAGCAATTACACTGCTCCTGCCTTTTTGAAATAAAAGTTGTTCGAAATCTGTTTAAACATACGTAAACTTTGTATGTGCAAGATTTGCATGTGATAATTCATCACTGTTTTCAAAATTTTTTATTTGATCTTTTGTTTTGTATCAATGAGAACTTGTATTATCATATACAAATGGCAGTTAAGGTTATGAATGTGGTCGCATCGATAAATGTGAGATAGCAGATTGCGATGCATTTTCTAGATATACGAATATAAATACTTTCTAGTCGATCGATTTAGATAATATCTTCGTAAAAGAAGTATAAAAGAGGTGACGCATTACAATTATGGCGTCGGCGATTGAAGTTCTGGCAAAGCAGGCGATGAAAACGTTTGGTGATTGCAGAAACGTCAGCTACCGGCTTTGCCAGAAAAATTTGGACAAACTATATAGTTTGATAAGCAAGATAACTGCTGAGGATGTAAAACTTGATAAGAAAACTCTCGATTACGTCAGTAGGCAGCCGGCACCTATGTGTGTAATAGATATATTCGAAAACAAGGACATAACAATTGCGATTTTCATACTAAAACACGGAGTCAGGATGCCCATGCATGATCATCCTGGAATGCATGGTTTGTTAAAGGTAAAATGCATATTAAAAATTTTTGCATATTAGAATTGTACGATACACAGTGCATAAATCAATCAATTCTAATATAGGTAATCAGTGGTATGGTGGAATTAAACAGCTACAGCTTGAAGACAAAGCATGATCATATAATTAAAGGGAACGAGGAAATCACAGCCGTCAGGCATCGACCAATTTTTCTTCATAATAATTTACCTGCTTATATTCTTACACCTTCGGAAAAGAATCTGCATGAAATTTCATGCATTGAAGGTCCTGCAGCTTTCCTGGATATTCTCAGCCCACCATACGATGTTGACGAGTATGGCAAAGGACCAAGACCGTGTACATTCTTTAAGACTGTCAAATCTAAGTTATGTACAGAACCCACAGATATAATTGAAGAAGTTCAGTTATCGATCATAGAAAGTCCACCAGATTTTTATTCCACGAGTTTAGAATACATTGGACCTCCATTAAAGAGTTACTGCAACTAAAATAATCTTCATTTTTTTGATTTGTAAGTTTTACCTTTTTCAATATTTTACATATTTATGTAATATGATTTTCATCTCATATAAGATATTCAAAACTTGAATTTTTTATAATCAAGACATATCGTTAACATAACTGCTTCTACCAAGATCAAAAGAATTCAAAGACGAGTGTAGAAGAATCAATCTACATTTCCATTTTTAATTTTTAGTTTATAAATAGGTTGTACATTTTGTTAATGTATAATTAGTTATTTATTTTTATTACAAAATATTTTACATTCATAAATTTTATTTTTCATAGAAAAAAAAAACGTTTTAAATAATATATTTCTTTTATCTTAAGTTTTTATCTTTCCAAATATTTGTTATTTATTACAAAATATTTATTATTATAAATTGTAAGCTAAATTTGAATTAGGAATATTTGATGTATTTTCTCGATACATAGTACAAAGAAAGATTATCACAAAAACGGGTAAATTGTATAGTTTAAATATAAAAGATTAAAATAATAGTTCAAAACAAGTGTTAATAAATTCCTAACGCGGAATTAGGAACATTATAATAATTATAGAAAAAATTGTATATGTTACTTTCAAGTAACATTGTTTTCAGAAGTTGTTTCATGATATTTTTCATGTAAAAATATGTTAGCTTTTTAAATTTTTTTTAATTTTAAAACTAAAGTACTTAAAGAAACTGCATAATTTATCAAATTAATCATTTTTTAAGAGTAAACTGTACTTAATTAATTATTTTTGCATCGCAAGAAATATGTTTAAGAAATATTTATGTATGATGTAAAAAATTGCTGCTAAGAGTCCCTTCTTTAAATTCTATGATTGGACGTGTTCAATGATAATTTATTGTACAAAATAGATTGATTTAGAGTATAGTGGTTTATCTTGTACTTTGAAATAGTTATACAGTTTGATTAGAAGAAATAATATAAACCCGATTAAATTGTGGTTGCAGTAAATCGACATCGTGGAAACCAACCACTAAAATATAAATTACAAAATAACGCTATTAAGACTCAATTAACGATGTATTCCATTATCATTTGATTAGTTTTAG